TATTTCTGAAGGCTGTTGGAGCTGGGGGGACTGAGAGGGCAGGAATAACACCAGACTGCTGGACCAGACCAGGCTGTTTGTAAATGTATAGGCTTATTACCTTTACTAGGATAATTCCTGGCAGTTATCAAATCCGAATTCTTTTGGATAGGGATAAGGATAATGAGATCTTCTGAATTGATTCTCATTTTGTTGCATGTCCAGACCATGACCGTGTGTTGCATACATGTTAGCAAACACCCCTGGCGCATCTTGCACTCAACATTGATCCTGGTGACTATTCATATTGACGCGGTAGCGGACCATAATGGTCATAGAAGCATTATGAAGGCAGCAACCCCCAATTACGGAGGGGTAATTCGCACTCTGGTGGGGTGTATACCCTTGGGTGGTGTGCGTAAACCAGCAAAATGCACACTGAAAAATATATAAAAACAAACAGAACTCCTAATTTAAAAATGTCATTAAATAACATCATTTCATTATTTTGTTACTGCAGCAGTGACACTGTGCATTTTACAACCAGTGCTAATAATTATTAGTGTCATAAATAAGTTGACATACTTTAAGGGCGGAGGGACCAAGTGCAAATCAGGCCTGTAGCTAGAAATACATTTCGGGGGAGGGATGTTTGCCAGCCAGGGGGCAGGAACCAAAATCACTGGCTTATTTTACTACCTAACTACATGATGATTGGCAGCAAACAAACGTGTTATTTGCACATGTAGCTACATTTCTGGTGCAGATCCAACAGGCATTTTCTAACTAACAGGTTATGAGTCTGTACTGTACCATGTCTGGAAGGTTGCTGGTTTGAATCCCCTGGCCAGCAGAGAACTCTCATTACTGCTGGGCCTTTGTACACGACTCTTAACTTCAAAAACTGGTACAGGAGTGTAAATTAAAAGGAAATTTAAATAAAATACAGACCAAACTATGAAAGTAATATGGATATTAAAACCACAAGGGCAGGTGGGATATACAAAATCCAGAAGAATCCAACGTACCTGCACTTGTACTTTTACAAAGATATAATAATTATATTGTATAAGTATCATTATTGTCATCATTATCAGCTCAGGATGTCTCCCCTCAGTGATTCCATGATGTTTTTCAGAAGGTAAACAAAACAAATGAGACTTAAGGGCTTGTTGGTGTTTTTATACTTCGAAATTGTGTAAACAGTGGTAAAGACACCTGATTTTAAATGTGTCTGGAATTACATATTAAACAATCACTTACTCCAGCTAGACATACTTTAAATGGGCACATTTAACTTAGTTTGAATTTTACGTGATTAAGAAACATTTACACATTAGGCATTTAAGCTGGGACAGCTTTGACATGCTCTTTGAGTCTTTCAAGCAGTAATTCTCCAGTGAGAAGAGTTGGTTTGTAACTCAGTGGTACAGTAGTTACCTGAGATCATACTTCCCTGCATCATTTATAGATACAACATCCCTCTTTCTGCCATCTTTTTCTGTAGCTCATGCCTTTTAAAAATATGTAACTTAAGTGTTTCTAAGGCTTAATGAGTGTTTAGCTATTGCTGAATGGCTCATAAGACACGCTGGCCCATGTTCAGTGGAGTACAGCCTTTCAGAAGAACTTACAAAGCTGCCAAGTATCTCTCTGACTGATAAGCTGTGTATCTGAGCACCGCTTGTGCTTTATGTGCCCTGTGTTCATTTTTTGGTATTCGGTACAGTTTAGTTATGGAGGACCTGCTCAAGAAAAGTTACAACTGTGAATTTTTGCACAAACTTTTGGCAACCCTAATCCCTGTTTCAATATTGTTTTTGTAATCTGCTACACCTTCAATAGTTCCCAAAGTTCACATAAAGACAGTTTGTTTAAATATGACCGTACCGCTGTCATTATCTACCTGATTGACTGCAATTTTGCACGGCATCTTCCAAATACTGTTGCACTTTATATCATTGTGTCCTTGTTCAACTGCCCTGTGTGCCTTTAATTGCCCGTCAGGAACAAATAAAGTTATTTTGAATTTGAATTCCGATACACAGATTAGGTGTAATGTCTGACACTGAACCCAGTGGATCTCCAGATTTCCCTGTAACCCAGCTGGAGGTTGTACCTCTTGATACGTCGCTAAAGGTTTGAAGCCCTCAGTGGGCGAGATTAACATACACTGCGAATCCAGGTTTGGTTTCACACTATAGGAAGTGCATCAGTCAGTGACTGACAGCCATTGATAATCCCACCAACTGTGGGTTCTAATGCCTGATTTCACTCAACACTACAATTTATATCTCTGCAAACACACAGCCTTAGATCAGTCTTTTATGCGGAACTTTAAATAATGCATTCTGGAAAACCAAAGAAATTGTAAGCTTTGGTACTGTCAACAGCTTTTGTTGTATGCTCAAAGAATACAGAGGTTACACAGAATCTGCCTTTCCATTCTATTATTGAAAATATAATTTAAAAAGTATGATGCTACTGTAAACTGAATTATAGTCTCTGTAACCCATTATAGAAATTAGATGCCTAAGATTATATTACAGTAATATGAAGATGGTCTGGACAAGTTCTCCAGGCCAGGAAGAGAAGGGGTTATGACCGACATAAAAATAATGGTTCATCATCCTACTACCTTTTATTTAATAATAAAATACATCTGCTGATGGTCAAAACAATTAAAGAAATTTATTAAATGAGTTTTTTAGACTTGTACTACTTATTGTATCCCATTGTTTGTTTTTCTCTCCTAAGCAGTATCAGTTAATGGAATACCTGTATAAATGTCAGCATCACTCATTCACACTCGTTGCCATTTCAGGAATGCTGAAAAAACTGACGACTCTCAAAGTGGACGACAACCAGCTAACCTCACTGCCCCATTCCATTGGAAGGTGAGTTGAACAAAAGAGCTACACTTAAAGCTGTTTCAAAACTTTACATTTCTCAGATAAAAATCCCTGAATTTCCCTCACAAAGGATTTGTCATCATGTTGTGTTTAAGATGAACTTTGCACAGTTCGGCTTGGTTTGACTGGTAAGTGAACAAATGACAAACTCTTTAAAGACAACAGGTACTGCTTAAGGTGGGAGCTTAGGTATCTCCTGTACAGCTATTGGCTAAACAAGTTTCAAGGCCTTCGAGCAAATCAGAACTGAGTTTGCAACCATAGTATGAACACTGAGGAAAATGATAAAGTAGAGTTTGCTGGACATAGCTATAGAAAACGCCAATCACACAAACTGATTCTGGTCATTAGGAGTCACAGATTTAAGGTTGGTAATATATAGGATTACAGGTTACCTTGGTCTGCAACTGGTGCCCCATTCTGGGTTATTGCCCGCCTCCCGCCTATAGCTTCTGGGATAACCTCTGGACCCCTGCGATAAGTGGGTACAGAAAATGGATGGATGGACTATTTCTTAAGGCTAAGCTTGCTTATCCAGGATGAAAATGTGAAATATGTAATGTGAGACAGTATTGTAACATCGCATGGTCTGGTATCGAGGTACATGAAAGGCTGTTTGTTATATAATGCACACAACCCCAGTCCAAAATAGTAACAGTGCTCCAATTCAAGAAAATCAGGCAGGCACATTGTTAGCACATCGTTAACTTATTAATTGTTCTCTTTATTGGATTTACAGATACCACGATTGTAATGTTTCATTCCAATGGCTTTATGCACTACAAGTACTGAATTTGATCATAAATGTATATAACTTGTCGTAGGTGACCAGTGGCGTTACACGTCATTTCAGTAACATGCAGCTTTTTGACATGATTGTATGGCGGTGGTGGCAATGGAGCACCAAGCGAGACCCAGACGCTGAACACCATCACACAGAGCTTTACTCTCTCGCTCTCGATCTTCACCTATCATGCTCATCAATATCGGCCCAGCTGCCCCGTGCCTGTGAAACTGTACTGTGATATTCTGTGCATCTCTCTTCTTGGTTTGTCATTGGGTCGGTTTGTGTGTTGTGTTTATCATACATGCATCTAAAATGGGCTACTTAGTGGACGCACCAAAATAGGGTAAGTAGACTGGAAATGCCCCCGGTTCCACACGCTCCTACTGCAGCATGTTTGAATAGACGGTCACACACCTGGGCACCATCTGTACACTATCGCTAACAGTGTGAGACTTAAGCCACGCATATGGGAGACCAGCTGGCCATTGCTCACAGTAACATACAGCGAATAATCTTGCTGTCCTTATCTAACATAAATTACTTCAGCTTTACAAAAAATACGTCCAACAATGTATTTGCATGTGATTAATTTACACACTTGAGATTGAGAGGTAACCAATACAGCGAACCTGAATGAAGGTTGTTAAATAATTCAGTTACATAGTTTCTAATTTATGGCAGGTTTTTATAGCTGTCAAATAGAGACCCACAGTAAGACATAAAGTGGTTGATTACGCAGCTTTACAGTGTGTAAATGTCTAAAAACATCTAATGAGAAATTATTTTGGTTTCAGAAGGATCTTTGTTGTGCTGATAGAATGTTAATAATGTTTTATATTTATTTTTCTTTTATTTTCTAGTAATTGTGCTGGATTTTGTTTTTCTGTAGCTGTTTTTGTGTTATATGCATTTTTGTGTGTGTATATATTATATATGTATATATATATATATATATATATTCTGTAGCCTTTATTTAGTAAAGTATTTAGTTATTGTGCTGTCTCTTTTGTTGAATTACAAATGATGCCAGGAAACAAGAAGCACATGACGCCTGACTAAGCCTTCCTTTGTATCTGTGTGTGTCAGCGCACAGAGTGTACGTGTGTTGCTCTTTCGAGGATTAAGACACATATCTTTGAGCACTTGGACTGTCTTCATTTTCCTAGCAGCTCTTCTTCAATCTAGCCTTTACGTAACAGCCGAAACAGCACAGATATCAGCCGCAGTATGTAACTGTGCAGTGACACCCAGTGACCCTCTTAGCACAGAACACTTTGGACTGATTTGGACTGATTTGGACTGATTTGCACTGTACATTTTATGCATTTTTCAGACCGGTCATCTTGGTGTGTTAGCACAAAAACATAATCCCTTCGTTAAAGGGTTATGCCTTCATTTAATTTATTATCTATGATATTGTATGAGGCATATGAATCACTACTAATGGGGAATTAGTGTGGTGGTAAAGGCTGGATTTTTGGGACGGCTAGCTGCATAGCTGTGGTCCTGAACGTGCCTTGGTCCAGAGAAGCTGTTCTGATAGACACTGTGCTCCTTTTTTAGTTTATCACTTTTAGAGGAGTTCGACTGTAGCTGCAATGAGCTGGAGGTCCTGCCGCCCACCATCGGCTACCTCCACAACCTGCGGACATTCGCTGCTGACGAGAACTTCCTCTCGGAATTGCCCAGAGAGGTAAGGCTCACTGGTCCATATGGTTTGTTATTCTAATTAACAGGCATCAAGTGTGATTTAATGGAGGACAACAAATATAATGTGTAGCTGGCTGATAGTAATCAATTTAAATATGATCGTATCACAGGGGATTCCGTATATCAGGCGATTTGGAGATACAGGTGTATATTTTGAGACAGATGGACGTAAAGGGTCAGGCCATATTACTGTTTACGGGTTAGGTAATGGAAAAGAGGAAGCCATATCACTGGTCACATGTCTGGGAATAGGGAGGGTGAAGCCACATCACTGGTCACATGTCTGGGAATAGGGAGGGTGAAGCCACATCACTGGTCACATGTCTGGGAATAGAAGCCTAATGTAATGGCCAAACTTCTGCTCCATTATTCATGCACTGATTGGATGTACTTCAGCTGCCCACATTGCTAGAAGCTTCCAGCTTAACTGAAGTGGAACAGGGTGGTGTGGCTGCCTCCAAATGCTTCATATCAGACTAAACCAGCCAGATGTAGAAAGTACAGTAGGCACATTAAAACACCACTATCAAAGAGGCGCATATGAGTGTAGAGGCTTCTGTTTTTTGTGTCATTTTGTTAGAAAAAACAAGCATGCCATCTCCTGGGTGTCCTAGCAGTGATGCTGTAAAGGAAAGCTGTGTACTCTGGTAAAAAAATAACCACCATGCTATTGTCCACCGCAGGATATAGGTGTGAGAGCACAGTAACGCAGCACGGCCATCACAAGCTTTTCCCTTTCACGTGTGTTTGCAGATCGGGAACTGTAAAAACGTCACGGTCATGTCTCTCCGCTCCAACAAGCTGGAGTTCCTGCCTGAGGAGATCGGCCAGATGACCAAGCTGCGCGTTCTCAACCTCAGCGACAACAGGTGCCCGCCGCAGATATTACGGGACGCCCCCCCGCGACCCTACAAACACATCCTTCATCATTACTACCGCAGCTAAAGCTGTACAAATGATAAATATCTTTGGGTCACTGAATGCAGGCTATCATGCTCTGTTTTGTGTGAGTAGAAACCTGTTATTAAAGGAGAGATTTGTAATTACTAATCCTTGATTGACTGTGTAGCTGACAAGCCCCTGGTACATTCTGCTGTGCATTATACTTACCGCCATTAGGTCCCAGCACTTGGCCTGTATGATGTATTACTCATTCCACAATGGCAGCCCAGCGGCCTTCCCCGTTATTACACAAGCTCCTTTAAGCTCTCACAGGCTTTGATGTTTGCATGCTCTCGTGAGACACGCCAAGCATGGTCGAGCGCTCTAGCTGCGCAGATTTTATCCCAACCAAGGTGTATCATGTTATTATTTTTCTTTATTAGCTCATTAAGATAACAGAAGTACCTCCCCCAGCCCACCAGCCTCATTAAGGAAGCCGTTTATGAGATATTTGGATGCTCGGCCTGCAATTAAACCAACGTGGGGTGATTAGACCGTGCTAAATAACAGCCTGGCTTAGCTAGCACACGGCTGAGGGGACGATGCGGAATGAGCAGGAACTGCTTGTAGCTGTGGCCCCGTATCCACTGCAAGACAGACCGCGATGAACCGGCTCCCGTCACATTTGGCCAAGTAGGCGGTGACAGGCACTGCTGGCAGCTAAGCGTTTCAAAGGAGCGCTCTCTGTATCCTGTGATGGTTCCAGGCAGATACGGGGGCTGTAAAAATAATCACAGTGTCATTCTGAATTTACGTGTATAATGGAAACATGCGCTGGATTAGCCTTGAAGGTATCAGAGGAGTCACATCCCAATTATCCTGTGTCCTTGTCACTGGTCAGGAAGTTTTCATTTTTGTATGTTGGAAGGTCATGCAGACAGTAAGACATTAGCTATTAAGCTAGTAAGACTAATTATGGCAATAAATCAAATTTGCAATTTTGTGCCCTTCGTTTTTCATGTTCTGTCTTTTTAAATCCCATAAGAGCTTTTTTATATGAAACGGACTGCCTTGCTTTCTTAAGAGCTTAGAAAAGATATATATATATATATATATATATATATATATATATATATATATATAT